GCTGCTGCTGCGGGGGAGGGGCGGCGGAAGGGGCGGCGGGGACTCCGCAACACGCGCGCAGCGGCGGAGCCTTGGCTGCTGCTGCTGCTGCACGTGCGGGGGAAGTGGAACTGCTGCTGCTGCTGCTGCATGTGCGCGGGAAGTGGAACTGCTGCTGCTGCTGCTGCTGCTGCTGCGTGCTGCTGCTGCAGTTTCTGTTTTCCTTCGGAGGCAGCAGCGCAGTGCTGGGCCACGAGGCCGAGCTGGTGCATGCAATCCGGGGCCACAAACCCAACTGGAAAATGACAGCAGCAGTTAACAGTGTTCAGTTCCATGACGACAAAATTAAACTCGACGAACAAACAGAAGCAGCAGCAGCTTCCTTCGGAGTCACGCAAGACATCATGCAGAAACTCGCGGAAAAAAAGGTCCCAACGCCCCTCTCCTGCTGCTGCTGCTGCTGCTGCTGCTGCTGCACTTGCTGCTGCTGCTACTGCAATGCTGCTGCTGCAGCGCTGCTGCTGCTGCTGCTGCAATGCTGCTGATGCAATGCTGCTGCTGCAGTGCTGCTGCTGCTGCAATGCTCCTGCTGCTGCTGCTGCTGCAGCCCTGCTGTTGGCGCTATTTTGCTGCTAGTGCTGCTTAATTGAAATGTTCTTTTGTTGCGGCTGCTGCTCCGGCGAGCGCGGGAGAGCTAAGTGGTTTCTTTGTCTGAAATTCTCGTTTAAATGGATTAAATTGGATTTTAATGCCGAAATTTAATTTAATTGATTTAATTAATTTAATTTAATTTAACTTAATTTAATTCAATGCAAACAGGTCAGTTTGCTGGCGGTGGGCGGCTTCTGCGACTCGGCGACAGCCCGCGGCGCTATTCGGCTTTTCTCGTACATGAAGGAGCACGCGCCGGAAAGTCGGTGAGCGAAAGTGGCGAAAAAAGGAGGAAAGCAGTTAAAAAAGGATTTAAAAAAGCAAAAAAGAGAAATTAAGAGGATAATAATGAGATTGTGCATGCAACGATGCGTCTTTTGACCCCGAATAGTGCCGAATCGGCGTTTTCAGAGCAGCAGCAGCAGCAGCAGCAGCTGGGGTGTACGTACACCGCAGGCCGCAGCTCATCCTCGGGAACTGGAGCCACGGAGGGAGGCGCAGCTGCGACCCCTTTGGAGGATCTTTTTCTTGTTTTGAAAATGATTTATATAAAACCATTCTTCGCTTCTTCGACTGCAAACTTAAAAACAAATGCTGGGGCGGAGCCGAAGACGAACTTCCCGTCCATTACTGGCAGGTCCGTTCAGGTGTACAGACACCTCAAACTCCACACACAGACACCAGTGACTGGCAGCTAGCTGCTGCCTAGCTGCTGGCTAGCTGCTAGCTAGCTGCTAGCTGATATCTAGCTGGCTAGTAGCTGGCTGCTAGCTAGCTGCTAGCTAGCTGCTAGCTAGCTGCTAGCTAGCTGCTAGCTAGCTGCTAGCTAGCTGCTGGCTAGATGCCAGCTAGCTGCTGGCTAGATGCCAGCTAGCTGCTAGCTAGGTGCCAGCTAGCTGCTAGCTAGCAGCTAGGCAGCAATTAGCTACTAGCTAGCTAGCGCCGACGTTTAAGTAGCTAGCTGGCAGCCAGCTGCGCGCTAGCTGGCAGCTAAGCTAAAGCCGGGCATCTGTGAACAGCTAGCTAGCTAGCTGCCAGCTAGCTAACTAGCTGCCAGATAGCTAGCTGGCTAGCTGCCAGCTAGCTAGCTAGCTAGCTGCCAGCTAGCTAGCGCTTTGTTGTGGGCATCTGCAGCATAGCTACAGCAGAGCTGCAGCATTGCTGCAGCAGAGCTGCAGCAGGACTGCAGCAGAGCTGCAGCAGGACTGCAGCATGGCTCAGCAGAGCTGCAGCAGAGCTGCAGCAGAGCTGCAGCAGAGCTGCAGCAGAGCTGCAGCAGCAGAGTGCGCAGCAGCTGCTGCTGCGGGTTGGGGTGTACAGACAGGTGCTGGAGAGTGGCGGGCGTCGCGCAGTTTTCCGCCGGAGGAAGAAATGCAGAATTTGGATTTTCATTTATCAAATAAACCTTTAAAAGAAGCTCCTGAAGTTGAAGAAAGTAATTCAAAATAAAATAAATAAATAAATAAACTGATTAACGCCAGCAAAGGGCAGCCACGGGGCGTCTCGCTGCAGGCTTTTGTGCTGCTTGAAGGAATAAATAAATGAGCTGCTGCTGCTGCGTTTGCTGCTGCTGCTGTGTTTGCTGCTGCTGCTGTGTTTGCTGCTGTTGCTGCTGTGTTTGCTGCTGGTGCTGCGCTGCACTGCGGGTGGCTGGGGACTTGCTGCTGGCCCGTGGAAGTGTTTAGTTTTGGGTTTTGCTGCTGCGTGTTGGGGTGTACGTACACTGCGCAGCGGAAGAACTATCCTCTGCTGCAGCAGAAGGCCTCGAAGTCTTGGGGCTGCATGCGCATGCAGACGGGCTGGAGCATGCGCTGCACGACATAACACAGCGTGTGCAACTTTACGCAAGTTTGCTGCAGCTGCAGGAGGAGGCGGACGGGGCTGCGGAGGAGGAGGATCCCGCTGCAGCAGCAGCAGCAGCAGCAGCGCCGACGGGCGCGGCAGCAGCAGCAGCAGCAGCAGCAGTGACGCCCCTGAAGGCGCTCTTCGGCCTCCCCAAAGACCCCAAGCGAAAGCCCTCAAGGCTCTCGCGATTAATTGCTGCTTTTGTTGCAGCACTTTCTTTAAAAAGAATTCAAAGCAGCAAAACAAATCCCAAAAGCAGCAGCAGGATGCAGCAGCTGAAGCAGCTCTTCAAGAACGACAGCAACGCCTACCTGATGACTACAGAAGCAGCAGCCAGCTCGCCAGTGAGTGCAGAAACACAAAAGACTTTTAATTGAAACTTCAAAAAGAATTATTTCTTTTATTTATTTTAAAATAAAACCAGAAGCAGCAAAGAGCCCATGCAAGTGAGCAGCAGCAGCTTCCTGCCTTCGTGCAGCTCTCTTCCTTTCTTCTTTTTGCTTCTTTTCCCTTTCGCCGCCTCTCGACACATTTTAAACTGCTGCTGCTGCTGCTGCTGCTGCTGCTGCTGTCAGCCTTTTAACTATGAAGCCTGTGCGGTGTTGAATGGCAAAAGTGTGGTTTCGTTTTCTGTTGTTGAATCGGAGGCTCTTGGGCGGAACTTCGCATTCGGGCGGAGAGTCCGGAGGTTTTGTGGATGAAATTGCGAGTTTTTGGGTTTATTTTTTGAAATTAATTAAAATAAAAAGAAATAAATGCTTCTAGTCGGCGAGATCGCGGCGAAACGCGGGGTTTTTTCGGGTTTCGCAGGGGTATCTTGACTACGAAGTTGAATATTTGTCGTCGAGCGGGCTGTACTCGCGGTGGACAATAGCGCAGCACCCGTTTCGGCTGTCGGTGAACTACGGGAATCGTTTATACCCTAAAAGAGAGTTTCCGTCGTTCAGTTTGACGGTGGTTCCCTCGCTGCCGCCAGGAGAGCCTTCCGGGGCTGCTTCCGTGCTGCAGCTGCTGCTGCTGCCGGAGAAAAACGGGGCAAACGCGCAGCAAAACCGGCGAGAAAGCGCGGAAAACGCCGCCCAGCCCCCCCGCAGCAGCCTCTACCTGCAGCAGCAGCAGCAGCAGCGCGCCCAGCCGCTCTCCTTCCTCTCCCCCCCGCTGCTGCTGCCCACGGACTTCGTCGGCAGCGCCTTTCTCCAGCTTTCCATTCAAGTTTTCAACTGCAACGAACTGACTCTGTTCGCCTACTTGGAAGACGTGGACCTCCTCACGGGATACGCCCACTACGTCACCGAGGGCCAGGTAACGCTGCTGCTGCTGCTGCTCCAGCGAGCTGCTGCTCCTGCTCCAGCCAGCTGCTGCTGCAGCGAGCTGCTCCAGCCAGCTGCTGCTGCTGCTGCTGCTGCTGCTGCAACGAGCTGCTACCGCTGCTGCTGCTGCTCCAGCGAGCTGCTGCTGCTGCTGCAGTGAGCTGCTGCTGCTGCTGCTGCTGCAGCGAGCTGCTGTTGCTGCTGTTTTTGAGGTTCTGCTGGTTTCCTGGGGTGCTTCGGCCTGCTGTTGGTTCCTGATAAGGTTTGCTTGCTGCTGCTCGTTTGCTGCTGCTATTTTTTTAAGGCGCTGCTGATTTCACGGGCTGCTTCTGGTTGCTGCACTTGTGCTTTTGTTTGCTTCCTGCCGCTCTTCTGCTGCTGCTGCTCTTTTTAAGGCTCTACTCACTTCCTGGGTTTTTTCTCGGTTGGTTCTGTGATGCTTCTGCTGCTGCTGTTGCTGCTGCTGCTGCTGTTCATGCTGCTGCTGCTGTTCATGCTGCTGCTGCTGCTGCTGCTGCACTTTCCGTTTCGGTGTTTGCTGCAGCCAGTTGCTGAACTGCGCATTGCTAATTTTAATATTTGTCACTTTCTCTTTTCTCTTTAGACATTTTCCTTTTGGTTTTTTAGTGGCGTTTAAATGTTGATTGCCAGTTTGCATTGTCTGCTTCCGAAGAGTTGATTCTCATCTTTTCTTCTCCACTTGAACTCTGTCGTTCCTACTTCCTGAATGCCTCCGCGGGTTTGTTTCTGAAAACCCAAAACCCTAAACCCTAAAGCCTAAACCCTAAACCCTCAGGGTTTTGTGCAGCGAATGCCCTTCCTCTGTGCTTAGTTGTCCTTGGCTGTGTGGGACACGCCGTGGGCGCGCAATTTGAATTGGAGCAATCAAGCAAGGTGGAAAGCCATTTAATTTCTGTTCAGTTGAACTTCCAGACTTCTTACATCATTTAGAAAATAAGAAGAACATTATTTGTCGTTCGTGGGGTTTCTCCTGAGCGTGGTATGTGCGTGTTTCGTCTTTTTTGAATTTTGAACTGCTTTCTGTTCCAATTGCACTTTTTGGAGCGATTCTTCCGCCTCTTTGGCTCGCTCAGCTGCTGCGCCTCAATGATGCTGCTTCTTTCGTTCAGTGATGTTATTTATTTGAATTGTTGGTTTTAATTGCGCGCTGTTCGAAGGTTGTGGCTTCGAACCGTCCGCTGCAAGTCCGGAGCGACCTGCCGGTGGGCGCGTACGGGCGGGTGGAGCGGACCTTCAACAGGAAGGAAAACCGGCCGATCGACGGTAAAAAGCAGTTCGTTAGAAAGCATTTTTCGAGTAGAAGGAGTGCAGCGCTTTGGAGCCGCGGAGGGGGCGGCTCGGCGCTGCTTTCCGCAGCTTTCCGCCGCTGCGTGTGCCCTGCGCCGCAGAACGCGGCGAAACCGTCGACGTTTCCCTCAACTTCGAACCCAACGCCTGGACCTTCCGCCCCGGACACTCCCTCCGGCTTGTTCTCACGGGCAGCGACTTGGGAAACTTCCGGCTGCCGGTGGGGGCGGAGGCGCTGCTGCCTGCGGAGTGGCGGCTGCTGACGGGCTCCGCGCTGCTGTCCGTTCCCGCCCGGGTGCGGGGCGGGGGCAGCAGCGCAGCAGCAGCGCCTCGCACTTGGAAGTAAATTCGCTTTTTCGGGTGCTTCGTTTGCTGCCTTTCGGACTATTTCGAAACGCAGCGCAGCGCGAGCAACAATCGCCGCGGAACGGCTTCCCCTCGGCGCGCCGGGCCCCGGGGGCCCCGGGCCCTCACCGGGCCCGGGGGCCCCTCGAGGGCACCGCGGGGCCCCTGGGGCCCCTACAGGGCGCCGCGGGGGGCCCCCGCAGGCGCCGCGGGGGGCCCCCGCGGGACCCGAACGGGCCCCCGAAGAGACCGGGGCCCTTGGGCGCCCCCAAGAGGAGCTCTTGGGGAAGCTGCGGACCCCAGGGGCCCCCAAACGGACCCCGGGGGGCCCCCAGGGGCCCCCAGGGGGCCCCCGGGGGCCCCTTGGGGGGCCCCCGGGGGCCCCCATGGGGTCCGGTTCGAGGAAGGAAGAAGCTGGTTTGGGGTTTCGCCTTTGATTTTGAGTGTTTGTGTTTTATTTGCACAAATATAATTTACTATATTTGCTGCTGCTTTATTATTCTTCTTTTTATTTATTATTATTGCAACAATTCACTAAAAGGAATTTGTCTGGTGGCAGTTTCTCTTGGTGCAGTTGATTGTTTTGCAATTAATTGCAATTGCTTGTTTTAATTAATTAAAACAATTGAACAATTAATTGTCTTAATCAATTAATTAAAACAGTTGAACAATTAATTGTTTTAGTTAATTAATTAAAACAATTGTTAATTGTTTTGTTTTCCTTTTCATCTTTCAAACCCAACTCCTTCGTGTCCCGCTCAAGGCGGGCCATTTGCACTTAGCAATTAATTAAATTTGTCGAAAAGGCCTGCAGCAAAACCCTAAACCCTAAACCCTAAACTCTAAACCCTAAACCCTAGAAAGCCAGAGCAGCGAGGTAGGCAGGGGCAGCACACGCAGGTGTATAGACACCCAGATGAGTATGTCTCTCTTTGAGGAAATAAATTAAAAAGCATTTGACAGTTCTTTAATAATCCAAAATCAAAAAAGGATAAAATTAATTTCAACTTTTCCTAATATGCCATATTTGCCATTCTGCACTTGGCTTTCCGAGGAACGCTTTCTGGGGCGAAGCGACGAAGCAGCAGCAGCACCGCAGCAGCAGCAGCACAACAGCAGCAGAAGCAGCACAGCAGCAGCAGCAGCACCGCAGCAGCAGCAGCAGCACAGCAACAGCACAGCAGCAGCAATTGTACCCGTTCAATTGTTTTTAGTTTTAATAGGTGGTCTTTTTCAAGTCCAGAGAGTGCAATAGAAGAGTTAAAAATGGAATTATTTGTTTAATGCAACTATTGCGTTTGAGAGGAAATAAAAAGCCGGATGAGAAGCTTTTAGAAAAAGCTGAATAGATTAAAAATGAATTCAAAGGCTTTCCAGTGTATGGACACCGCAGGACATCGTAGTTCATTTGAAACCAGTTTGGTTCTTCACTTCTTTTGCATTTAACTCGCCAGCAATTCCCCCGCAGCTTCTGCTACTTTTAAAAAGGAAAAGACCCCCAAGAAAGCCGTCGAGGGTCTTTTCAATTATTCAATAAGTCTAAAGAGCTTTCCAGTTTCCCGTTTGCTGCTCTTCGCCTCCCGCTCATTCGCTGCTGCTGCTGAGCCTGAGTGCAGAGTTGAACAGCTCACTAAACAGTTAAATAAATCTGATTAAAACTTAAAAAGAGATTTAAAGGACTTCACAATAAACGGAAGTCCCTAAGTTCCTTCAACTTTTCTGCTTCTTAACGGTACAGATCAGCAGAGGCGCTGCTGGGATGTGCTGAAGGAGGCGAGTTGCAGGTGAGTTGCTGGGCCTGTGTTCAGTGTGAAATAGAAGCATCTTTAATGTTTGAATTAAAAAGGAAACAAGAAGGAAACTGCAGCAGAAGACATTTGTGAAGCGCGGAAGCTGCATGCGGGCTGCTGCTGCGGGTTGGGCTGCGGGGCTGGGCTGGGCTGTACATACACCCCAACACTGCTGCGCAGCCGCGCGCAACGCCAAGCGACGGGAACATGAGACTTTCTGCACCTTTTTGGTCTTTTCTTCGGGGTCAGCGGAACATTTTGGGAGTTAGAGGCCTGCAAAGATGGTAAGACTGAGGAGTTTCGTGCGGAAACGCCTCGGGAGGGCGCGCCGGAGCCGCGGAGCAGTCGCCGGGATTCCGCGGCCGATCACCCCGTTTAATCCTTTTTCCTGACTATTTCCGCTTCATTTTGGCTTCTATAATTAACTTTTTTCGCTAATTCTTTCCCGCTGGCCAGTGGGGTGTCGCTTTTTCCCGCGAGGATTGCCTGGCTGGGCTCTCCCCCCACTGCATGCTGCGGGGCTGCCGTGCACTTGAATTTTCGCGAATTTTCCGGTTTTTTCGCTTTTTTGTTCAAATTTTTAAATTTATTTCAAGATCTGAGGCTCCCAGCTCGCTGGGGGAGAGCAGAGGGGGCTGACCCAGCCAAATCTGCAGCAACGGACTCTTTTGCAGATTTTGACGCAGTCTTTGCTGCACCTGAAGAAGGCCCAGAGTCCTTCTCTACGAAGCCCGGGCTCTGCAGCAGAACGGCCAGGGCCGGGGCTTTCGACTTGGAGTGTTTTTCCATTCCATAATTTCTTTCACTTTTGCTCCAGTATCTTATTTTTGCGCTATTTCTTTCAATTCAGCCGTTATTTCTTTGAATTTCGCCACTATTTCCTTTATTTATGTCTGTATTTCCTCCGTTTACGCTTTTGTTTGGTTTAATTGTGCTTTATTTGTCTCGATTTTCTTCATTTATTCTTTTAACTGCACAGGCTCGCGGACCGAAGAAGCACTTGAAGCGGCTCGCCGCTCCATCCCACTGGATGCTCAACAAGATCACGGGCCACTATGCCCCTCGCCCCTCTCCTGGTGAGTCTGCTGCTGCTGCTGCTGCTGCAGTTGCTGCTGCAGTTGCTGCTGCTGCAGTTGCTGCTGGTGCAGTTGCTGCTGCTGCCGCTGCCGAGCGACGCGAGCGCGTTTGGGCGTCGCTGAAGTGGCTCTGCGTCGCAGGGTCCAGGCTGGGGGCGCAGGGCGCAGGGTTTAGGGTTTAGGGTTTAGGGTTTGGGCGCAGGCCCGCACAAGCTGCGGGAGTGCCTGCCGCTGGCGATTCTGCTGCGGAACCGACTCAAGTACGCGCTGACCTACCAGGAGACGAAGCTGATAGTGATGCAGCGGCTGGTGAAGGTGGACGGGAAGGTGCGGACGGACCAGTGCTACCCCGCGGGGTTCATGGACGTGGTTTCGCTGGAGAAGACGCAGCAGCACTTCCGGCTGCTGCTGGACACCAAGGGGCGCTTCGTGCCGCGGCCCATCAGCGCGGAAGAGGCTTCTTACAAGCTCTGCAGAGTGAAGAAGGTGCTGATCGGCCCCAAGGCCATTCCTATGCTGGTCACCCACGACGCCCGCACCATCCGCTTCCCCCACCCCAACATCAAGGTCCACGACACGATCCGCCTCAGCATTGCGGACTCCAAGGTCAGTTTTTGCTAATTTGAACAAACATTCCTTTTCGCTTTTCGTTTCGGTCCGCTTTCCGCGCTTTCCCGCAGCTTTCCGCGGAACGCGCGGCGGCGCGCTCGGGTGTACGGACACCCGCGCGCGCCGCCCCGCGCCGCGCGGAAACGGGAAAATAAATGTCGCCGGCCGCCGCTGAAAATTTGCAAATAAGAATTAAACGCTAAATTGCGCGGAAATCGCGGGCTGGAACTTGAAATGGGGCTTTCGTTTGCGCAGATCGTGGACACGTACAAGTTCGAAGTCGGCAACGTGGCGATGGTCACCGGCGGCCACAACGTCGGCCGCGTCGGCACCATCGTCAACAGGGAACGCCACTTGGGCAGTTTCGACATTGTGCATCTTCGGGACTCGCGGGGAAACGAATTTGCGACGCGGATCAGCAACGTGTTCGTGATTGGCAAGGGCGAGAAGCCCATGGTCTCGCTGCCCAAGGACAAGGGCATTCGCCTCACCATCTTCGAGGACCGCCAGCTCAAGCTCAAGAAAAACGCGGGACTCTGACCGCGTTCTGCGCCGGCGCGGGGCCACCAGCAGCAGCAGCAGCAGCAGCAGCAGCAGGCAGCGGCGCCCGGGCGGAGCGGCTGGCGAGGCTTGTAAGTGCTTTTCTACGCAGCACTCCTTCCTGCTGCTGCTGACGCTTCAGAGGCAGCTTGGTTTGCCTGCCGGACTCAAATCATTTTGTGCTTCACGGGGAGCTGTTGCTGCTGCTGCTGCTGCTGCTGCTGCTGCTTAGGCCTTTGCAGTAGGAAAGCAAATGCGAGAAGCCGCACAGGAACTGCGAGGCTAGTTGGACATAGCCGTTTTAGTTTAGTTTTGTTTATTATTTTTATTATTATTTTCAGTTTTTATTTTTAGCTCTAAAGTATTTTGCTTTCATTGCATTCAAGTTGCACTTCGCAGCAGCTCCTTGCTGCAGCAGCGGAGCGAAGGCGCAGCAAGTCTGCCATGTAGTTTTAAAAGATGAATTTATTTTAATTCAAAAAAGAATTTACAATTTAAAAGGTTAATTCGTTTGGAGATAAATTTATTTTGGGAAAGAATCTATTTAAATTAAGAATTTCCACTTTGGAAAAGATCGATTTCTATTTAACCTTGAAAGAATTTACATTTAAGAAGACATGGATTTTTTTTAATTCAAAAGACTTTGCATTTAAGAAAACATGAGTTTATTTTAATTAAAAAAGAAATTCCTCTTTGCAAAAGAAATCAAGTTCAATTTTGAAAGAATTTGCATTTCAGAGATGAATTTATACTTCAGAAAAGATGAGTTGTTTTTAATCAAAAAGAAATTTGCATTTTACAAAACATGAATTCAAATTCTCTTTTAACTAAAGGAGAATTTACATTTCAGAGAAGATGAATTTACTTAAATTAAAAAGGGATTCACATACACGAAAACATGGATTTGATTCAATTAAAAGGAGTTTCCACTTTATGAAAGATGAAATAAATTGAATTAAAGAGGAATTTCCACTTTAAAACAGATGAATCAAATTGAATTAGGAACTTACACTTATAAAGGGTGAATTCAAATTAATTAAAATAAATTAGAAAATAAGAATTAAATTGAACTAAAAAAGAATTTAGAAAATTAAATTTAATTGAAAGGAATTTCCACTTTGGAAATAATTAAGAAGGAAGTCGGTGATCAGTTCGGGTCGAAACGGAGAAATAAAAAGCAAGACCCCACCTGGGTCCCTGCACTGCATTTCCCACCGCAGCAGCAGCAGCAGCAGCTCTGTGAATTGCTGCTGCTGCTGCGGCTCTGTGAATTGCTGCTGCTGCAGCTCTACGAACTCCTGCTGCTGCAGCTGCTGCTGCAGCAGCTCTATGAACTCCTGCTGCTGCAGCTCTGTGAACTCCTGCTGCTGCAGCTCTGTGAACTCCTGCTCCTGAAGCGGCTCAATGAACTGCTGCTGCAGCAGCAGCAGCAGCTGCTGCTGCTGCGCGCCTTCACCTGCGTTTCCCGCTGCTGCTGCTGCTGCTGGTCACTGCCCGTACTCTATGGCGAGCAGCACGCCGTCGAGAACTTCAACGATTTTGTTGAAGAAGTTTTTGCGGCCGTTGGGGTCGAAGACGAGGCCGTGGTCTCCGTCTAGGGTTTGGACTTGGGGGCCTGCTGCTGCTGCTGCTGCTGCTGCTGCTGGTTTGCTTCGCAGCAGCCGGAACCACCCCTCGAAAAGGGAGTTGTCTGCCAGCTGCAGGTCCCTGCTGCCGCGGAAGACGGAGCAGGGGATGTCTGCAGCAGAAGCAAAAATGGCTCAACAGCTTTCTCTACCTGCACCGCAACAGCAGCAGCAGCAGCAACAGCAGCAGCAGCAGCAAGACGCACCCAAGGGCGTCAAGTCTGTGGGCTGGTACTCATCCAGCATGTTGTGGTCTGCGCGCAGCAGCGGCTCGTAGGCGGCCCACATGTCTTTTTGAAAGAGCACTTCGTTGCAGTTCCACTGCCGCAGTTGATTCTGCAAAATGAAATTTAAATTAAAAATAAATTCAAAAAAATGCATTTTCCACCCCGCCTCTCCAGGTGTACGTACACCCCACCAGCAGCGCGAGGTGTACGTACACCCCAGCAGCAGCAGCAGGTATACGTGGAGGAGGCCAGGTGTGCGTACACCTCCGCTCCGCCAGGTGTCCATACACCCCAGCAGCGCCGCGAGCTGTCCGTACACCGCAGCAGCAGCACTTGGTGTACATACACGGCAGCAGCAGCACTTGGTGTCCGTCCACCGCAGCAGCAGCACTTGCGCATACAGCGCAGCAGCAGCAGCAGCAGCAGCAGCAGCAGCAGCGGTTCGTACGTACAGCGGAGCGCACCTGGAAGGCGGCAGTGTCGAGGGCAGCAGTGGCGGTCCAGGGGCGCCTGTGGGGCGGCAGGTCGGGGCTGACCATCGCAGCAGCAACGAAGTGCAGCGGCAGCAAAAGTGCTTCCAGCTTCGCCTGCTGCAGCACTTCGAAGGCCAGCCAGCAGCCCATCGAGTAGCCCACCAGCACGTACGGGCAGCAGCCCTTCGAGATCTGCACACCGCACCAACCACCCACTGCTGCTTCCGCTTGCTGCAGCAGCAGCATCAGCAGCAGCAGCAGCAGCAGCAGCAGTA